ATATTTTTCTTTAAGAGTTAATTTAAATACTGAGTAGGAGAAGGTAGCACATATTTACTTTTCACTGAGTACATTTTCATGATAGGGTCAGCCCTACAGAAACAAAATTCTCCTGCATGTCATTTAGTTCTCCAAGCATTATATCAGACTCAGTCCTAGCTTCATCAAAATAAAAACAGTTTAACTTTGTTTAAAGAATGTTTATAGAAACTTGTATATTTAAAGTCCAAGTGTAAAATGAAGCAGCCAGGAATATCCTAACACTAAAACAACACAGTTCTAACTTAGATCACAGTTTTGCCTATTTTAATCTCCAGATTGACTTATACTGGTGGAATGGATTGGGAAAGATGAGAAAGGAATGAATATTGATGAATGAATGATGAATATATATATTTTTTAATATTATCTCATTTAAAAATGAATATTTTTTTAAGCCTTTACAAAATGCTAGGCTCTGTTGAGATCCCTTACAAACATCTCTGATCCTTACAACAGTCCCATGAGATAGGTATTATTATTCCTATCTTACTGATGAGGATACTGAAGCTCAGAGAAGCTAAGTAACTTACCCAAGATCACACAGCCAGTGAATGGCAGAGACAAAATTCAAATTTTTATACTTAGGATTCTTCCTTGCCACATTTAATAAGAGCCTTTATATATATCACTGGGTATTACAGAGAGTATGATGCAGACATTGGTATTAATGAAACTTCTTAAAGTGAAGTGATTTGGGATAAGATTTTACTACTCATTAGAGAAGAATTTCTGGGAAAGTGTTTATGTATTGTATTTTTTAACATGTCAGAATTTGAACTTGGGGGCTTCCCTGGTGGCGCAGTGGTTGAGAATCTGCCTGCTAATGCAGGGGACACGGGTTCGAGCCCTGGTCTGGGAAGATCCCACATGCCGCGGAGCAACTAAGCCCGTGAGCCACAACTACTGAGCCTGTGCGTCTGGAGCCTGTGCTCTGCAACAAGAGGGGCCGCAACAGTGAGAGGCCCGCGCACCGCGATGAAGAGTGGCCCCCACTTGCCACAACTAGAGAAAGCCCTCGCACAGAAACGAAGACCCAACACAGCAAAAATAAATTAATAAATTAATAAACTCCTACCCCCAACATAAAAAAAAAAAAAATTTGAACTTGGGATTTATACTCCAATTTGCAATACTTTAAAAATATTATCTCCTCTAATTTAGAGATATTTTCACGTTTTCCTTTTTTATTTTATTTTTTTGATGTAGTTCTGGAATTATAAGTGAAAAAAGAAATCCTAATTTAGCATGTTCTCTGCACTTCCAGTTTTTTTTTTTTTTTTCACTTCCAATTTTTTTAGCCATTACTAGTAGCTCCTATATACACAAACACGTGAGAAATCTCTAAAGTAAATTTTCAGTTTTGAAAAAAACAGCTAATCACATCAAAGAAAAGTAGGCACTGGAAGACACTTTCTAGAAAACAGTATTAATATATAATTATTTTAGGAGAAACTATGACTCTGTTAACACCCCCCCCCCAAATTAAATGACCTAATCAGATCACTTAGAGAAATAAGTGCTTTTCCCTGCCCTACCCTGAACTCATATTGCTATTTAACTTGCTTTTAAACAAACAAGAATTTTTAAACACTTTCTATCCTTTAAACAAATGTTCTTTGCTTGGCTAAATGACAATGTTCCAGAAATGCCTACCACAGAAGCATAAAAAACCCTTGGCAACATTCCAGAAGAAATTCACCCTGCATAATGTGTTCCAGCAAATGCTCAATAGCTTTTCTGGTGAACCTGCTAGTTCTGTGTGCACTTGAACAGGATCTGAAAAGAACAAAAGAAAAAACTGATAGACATTTTCCTTTTTGTTAGTCTGGTGAAGTAGCCCTCAGCTCGAATGAGCAAACTTTCCAAACTTGGAAAAATGAAGGCATGTATGGCTAACCTAAACCCGGCCCTGGGCTCTGATGTAAACTTTGTTTTACTACATTTGATTCCCTGAAATTCAAGTATGATTATATTGTCTGTCTTTTTATCTAATAAAATGTGCATTAGCATTTGATTCTTTTTGGAGTGTAGTATTTGTTTATATGAATGTATTCATTCAAATGATTAGTAGTGCTGTCATAATGAGAATGCTTTAGATTAGACATAAACTCTCGATATAATATTAAAAAGAGGGAGACTAGAGGGACAAACCTCTTCAGAACGTTTCAGAAGTGTGTTCATAATTGGCTAAGGCTATCAACTTCTCCAGATACTTATGAGAACTTCACCAAGTGCAAAAACTTAAAGATGAAATCCATTTCCCTTTTATAAAGTGAAATAGATGCAAGTTTTAATATTTTATGCCCCTTTGCAACTTTTTCTTGGGGTGAACATTTCCTACTTAAAAAATCAAATGGTTGGACATTTTACAGTCTATGAAACTGTACCGATGATACATTTAACCCCAGTTCTCTTTGAACATGGGGGGAGGCAGTGTTGGGCTGGGCTGACACAGTGTGTACTGAAAGCCCGTTTGACCTTAAATGCCCTGACGGGGCCAGGGGAGGATGATTGGAAAGGTGAAATTTTCTCCATTTGATGTTCTAGGACACATGCATAGAGCTGAAACTCAACCCATTTTGCAGGTGAGACCAATAGATACAAATGCCAGGCCTGGGGGAAAACTCGAACCCTGGGGAAGGACTGAAGGCACTAGAGCTTGCCTTCACACGCCTCCCACTATCATTCCATCAGCCTGCTTCACGCAGAGCCTTTCTCTGGTTCCCTGGAGCCACTTGGAGGAGTGCAGCAGGAGGACCATTGGCCCAGGATTTAAAATATAGACTTTTGATGTTATCACAGAGATACCCTGATAGGATTGAAGAGAAAGGACTCATTGAACAACTTTAATGGCTAAATATAAACATTTTAAATGTACTGTGCTGATTGTAACATTCTTCTGGCATTTCTTCATTTATTACTGTGCTGGAAGCCTCAAAATAATGGAAGAGACCCAGCTCTCGGGACCTCTGAGAGGCCCTGGCTACCAGGAAGACATGTGGTGTATTAAGAGAAGGCAAGATATTTACAAAACCGTCAACTGCTTTCTGCAGAAGAAAGCTGGGCCTCTAGACTCCCAGTCAGCAGAGTAAATTACGAAATGCAAAATCAGCACAAAACACATGGAAACTAAAGAGATTTTTGACTGACATCCTTATCCTGATCTCTCCATCCTCAAAAAGTAACCATGATTATGAGTCAAGGTGTTTCCTTCCAAATCTTTAAAAAGAAATACACACACACACACACACACACACACACACACACACACACACAGAATAAATGATGTTATTTTATGTGTTTTTCTTAAATATTTGGTATAATGCTATACATATCCTAAAAATTGCTTTATTTATTTAACAGTATTTTGAAACTTATCCATGTGGCTTCATATAGATTTATTTCAATACTTTTGGCTGCTGAATAGTACTCCATGGTTCGAAACCACCACTTTTATTTACCCATTTCCCTATTGAAGTACTTTCAGTATTTGTCTGTTGCTGATCTAATGCATTCTTCCAGCCTACTTAAGCCTTCCCTTCTCAGAAGTCTGACTGTACTTTATTCTCCTTAGTTTGTTCCACGTATGTGAGGTCTGTCTCCCAGACTAGAAAGTAAACTTCTAGAGAGCAACTTCTATGGCCAGTATCTAATAGAATCATTGCATCTATGTAATAACTTGACAAATGATAAACTTTGGCCTTTTGACTCTCTCAGAAAGCTTAATAGGAGCTTTGGACTCACAGAGGCTCAAAAAATTCTATTTATTTATTTCCGCTTGTTCTTAAAACAGAAATTCTGTATTTTCAAAACAGGTTCAGCTAAAATTCACTTCCTTTCCTAATCTATATTTGTGGTGGTCAACATCTCCTGGTGATAAAGTTTGCTTCTTTTAAAGATGAGAGTGTGTGTGTGTGTGTGTGTGTGTGTGTGTGTACGCACATGTGAGAGAGTAGA